GATCGTTCTTCATCCATTGTTTCAACCTTTTCATTTGCTTCTTCAAGAGGAACTTTATATTTAAAAGTTCCGATAAATGTTTTCAATACATTCTAAGAGCCCATCTCCATGCTCATTTGATACTTTGGGTATATGAATTCAAATTCTCCCTAATCATTAATTTAAACATAAAATTTGAAGAAAAGTGGCATGATTTTTACATATTTAATAAATTAATGATCTATATGATAAAGGAAGGTGGCTGTTGAAAATTTCGAAAACACGAATTTTTCTACCGATATGTGAATAATTCCAAAGATTTGCACCGATAAAAGAATTCGTAACTACGAAAAATGTAAAAACTATTTTTTAAAAATTAATCATTGAACAAATAAAAAATGTTCATATATCATGATCCACTTCGACCTCGAATTCAACAAAGAGGTGTTAGAAAGTTGAAGCCTATCTATTGTTGTTCTAAATTCAACAGAAAAAGAGTTTTTGATTTTCGTTTGCATAGTTGAGTTTGATAGTTGTTAGCTTCCGAAGAATTATTATTAGGATAATAAAATTAGGGTCTCGAATTATCGCGTGATATAAATTTTCAATTTTTACGTCGATCCTTCAGTGATCTTTTCCCATTATATTGATGAAATTATAGCACGTCTAAACTAAAAAAAATAATTTGTGATGATTATAATATATCTGATTTAATAAAATAGTCTGCTTGTTTGGATCTTGCAGATCCCTTCCAGATATTTCTATGTTAAAGTTTTCTGCTTTTTTCAACTTTTTGGTCTGGCCCAAAGTACATATTGTTAAATATCAAAGGGTTATTTAGAATAGGACATAAAATATCTGAATAATACGCCTCCTCTATATCCTTAGACGTAGATAGCATTTTCTTACTAGAAAAGCTGATTTGATGAGACTTTATTAAAAGTAAAGGCAACCTTTGCCTATATTTTCAAAATCGTCAGCTATTTTGCACAATATCTTCAATTTTGAACTGTGGATGATGAATTATATCTATTAATTCATCATACACTTAGGTGGCTAGTAATAATAATATAAGTTATTCTTTTTGAATTCACTAAGAATAATATTCTTAGAAAGTAATTTAAAAGTCTAACTTACATATATAATGTTTTCCATCTAGTAAAAAAACAATGTTTAGGTGATATTCCTGAAATACCAGTGCTAATTCACCGAATGTTCATGACATTTGTTCATTGCTAAAAGGCTTATCAATGATTATTTCATCATCTGATTCCTTGTCACTACTGTTACTGCCACTTTCTTCGTCATTTTCATCAAATTCCGTCACCATTCTATTATATTCACTTGCATCATCATATCTATAAAATACTGTATCATCTTCACTTGCTACTTTGTTTTCCACCTCAAGCTTTATATCATCTTCATCTTCAATTTCCATGTTGATAGCTGATGTCACTTTATTTTCAACATAAATATTCATTTCAATACAATCATCATTTGTATTGACAGCCATATCTTCTAGAAAAGTAAAAAATATAGTGAGAAAAGAACATTTTACTCATATTACAATACAAATAGTGATATTTACCATCCGTTTCAAACTTCTTTGTTTAGTGCTAAAGATAACTGTGAAGATATATTAAATGTGCTATGGCTTGTCTAAATTGATTATTCAAAGAATAATAAGCGCGTTTATAACGGTTCGCGCATTTGATCTACAATGTTTTTTTTTTTAAATATAAGATTCTTTAAATAAAAAGAAATTTTAAAAAAATACAAATAAAACCTCACGTCATTTAAGACCTATCTTTTTTATTGAATCATAAAAATATGGTTTTTAAACGACCAATGAAATTCCAAATTTGGAAACAAAATTTAATTAACAATATGTAAGTTTGTTAATTCATCATTATTTGAAATTTCCAGATTTTTCTCGTTTGCTAAATGTAATAAACTAACAAAACATAACGGTACCGAAATATCTTTCATCTCTATTTGAGGATATTCTTTCTTTAGATCACAAGTAACTCCCGAAAATGTCGTATTGTCAGCTAACATTTTCCATATATTTTCCTTCAATTTCTTAACATCGGTTCTTTTTGATACCTTGGCGTATTTGATAGACTCGGGTTTATTTATCTTTGTCTGAATTACCAAATTATCACCAAATTCGCTCTCTGAGTCGTCATCATAATCATAATCGTTGTAAAAACCATCTTCAGTAGTGTAGATAGCTAAATATCAATTTAAAAAGTTAAAGATCTATCTTATCATTATTATTAAAAATTTATTATTTGGACTTACTCATATCCGATAAAGCTTCTGAATAAATAATAATTCTTATTAATTCCTAACAAATAATTTTTATAAAACGACTCGAATGCACCTACCATCATCGGAATCGGGCTCGGGCTGTGCTTTATATTGGTGTTTCGAGTTAAGCTACGAAAAAAAATATAATACAATCAAAAAGTGTATATTACGTTCTAAAATATTAATCTCATATAATGAAAGGAAAATTTATAAACTAAATAATTACCATAAATTTAGGTTTTAAGAATAAATGATTGAATTGCTTTGACGAAAAATGCATATCGTCGGGAAGTAGGTGACCATGTGATACTTCCTCAGCAAACTTGGGCGCATTTATCTCATTTCCCCCAGGTGCAAAAAGGACTCGCTCGTCCATATCCTCTGATCCAATAAAATCAATATAATCCGGTTCCTTTTTCTTTCTCTCCCTTGTCTCTCCAATTTTTGTAATTCCTTTATCTATTTCATATTAAATTTACATATAAAAATTTGTAATTTTAAAAATAAAAAACAGATATTTAATTACCTTTATTTGTTCTTTTTAACTTCCAATGTTCAGGACCCGCCCAATTACGTATGAACGCAGAGTCAGAATAATTATACGATTCGTTTTCATTACTGACCATAGCCATGGCAAAGTCTTTTTCTGTCAATCGCGTATCTGGATTCATGTCGACTTCATCGAATACTCCCGAATTTATACCATCACCTTATCATCGTCATTTCTATCAAACCATTCATCATCGTTATTTCTATCAACTTCATCATCATCATTATGTAGAGTACAATCAACATCTAAAATGCTATCTCTTGACAATGCACTATAATCTTTAGCCAATGTCGTCGTAGTCTATAAAAAATTTCACATTAATATTTTAATTTTTGACAACATCACATGTAATAATATTATTAACCTTTTTAAGAGTACGACTTCCAGGATCAACATCACCATCTCCATCGTTATCATCGTTATCGTCATTATCTTTGAATTATGTATACCATGTTTGTATTGATATAAAAAGTAAAGGTAAAGGTACAATAAATAAAAATTAACAATTACCGGAGCTATTTGCCAATCCACTTAAAAGTTTTCCTGTTTCTGTTGCTACAGAATCAACGCGTGAAGTGTAAATCTTTACACATCTATCCAAAATACGTGAAGTCTTTTGAAAATTTATAGAATCGCCTTCTTTCAATAATGTCATCTCATGAAAATAATCGATTAATTCAAGCTTACAATTATCGTTAGAATTAATTTTCTAATATGGAAAAAAAATTTATTTTATTTTAGCTTAAGTTTGCATGTAAAAATGAATAATGAATAGAATAGTTTACGTTATCGGTTGCCATTTTCGTCCATTCTTTAAAATTAGAATACATTTGTTCATCTGGTATCTTTTGAATAGGGGTGACTACATTCAAAGGTTTAATCGAGTTTCTTTGGCCACGTTTTGACTACCGGAGCTAAAAGCTTTTACAGGAGTGCTACTACCACAGAAACATTTAAGGTTTTGCTTCGTGTTGAGTCTACTAAAGATATTCTACGCGATCCGAACTCCGAGGCATCGTCAATTAAAGGAACATTCGTTTTTCTGAAGTTTTTTAATGAATGGCGAGGCATATTTCGAAAAGTCAGTTTATATTTCACACGCGTTATTGCATTTGATTGTCAATTATTTAATTGATTAATATTCGAATCACGTGTATATGATTTAGTAATTTGATTGGGCAATAATTTATTTAATATGAATTGTATAAGATATTTGTTTAAATTAATTTTTTTTAATGATTTTTGAGTTTTACAAATAAAAGAAATAAAAGGAAGAAAATTATCAAAAAAAAATTTTTTTTTTATAAGTTATATATTATTTTTTTTTTTTTAATAAAATAAATTTAAATTTAATATTAAATTTTTCTTCTTTCTACTGCAAAGTATTTATATTTGTAATTAAATATAAATTAAAAATAATATAATTGAGTTATAATTTATAATGAAATGTCTATTAAAGTTTTGTTATATATAACTTTATATAGTTTTTCAGTTTCTTCTTTCTATTCTCAGATATTAATAAAGATATCTAAATTATCTTTTCAATCTTTTAAAAAGATTTGTAAAGAAACAGAAGTAGGCATTAGCATTTTTTGCAAATTAAATATAACTTAAACTTTTTTGTTCTAAAAATTCATTATTATTTCTATTATTATTACATATATATTAGTATTATTATTATTATTATTATTAATATTATCCTAGATATAATTATCATTATTGATCTTTTTTAATTATATTTTTATATAATAGGAATTAAATAGTAATAAATTCATATTTTAAGTGCAACTTGTATAATTATGAGATAAAGTGCTAAATAAATTTGCTGTATTTATTAACATTCTCTATATATGACATTTTATGATTTTTTTTTTTACATTTAGTAATCACAGGAAAATGAATTAAATTCATTTTATTGAGACAAATCTAATGATACTAAATTTATATTCCTATATAAAACTCATAAAATTATGAATTTATAAAAAATATTATCAATTTTTTTCGCCTTTACTGTATAACATAAAAAATAAAAATTGAAAATTATTAAAATCATAAATAAGCTTTCTTAAGAAAAATGTTGATATAGAATAAAAAATCTTTATTATTTAAACACAAATAATATCATATTTTTTAAGAAAAGTTAAAATAAATAATAAAAAAAAAATATTATTACACTTTTTATTTATTTTATTTTTTTTATTATTATTAAGATTAAATTCTATTATTTTATATAAAATAAATGATAAATAAATATGTTGCATATTTTATAAAAATCACCATAATCATATAATATAATTATTTTAAAAAAAAATAATAATAAAATAATTTAACCTTAAGATTAACTATAATCCACTATCCAAAACTCGAATTCTAATCAAAATCTTAAATATAATTTTTTATTTCTTTATAAAGTTTAGGAAAACCTATTGTAAATTTAACTAAAAGTATATTAAACAAATAGTATAATTATAAACTTGAAAACTATAAAAATTAATTTAAATATTAAGACTATTACAACTATTTATTCACTATGTTCATTGGAGTTACCAGCTTTTTTCGCTATTTTTGCTTATTAACCTACTTTTTAAATGTTCATCTTTGATAATCGAATCTGTCGTATGAAGAATAAATTATATGCAGATCATCATAACTATCTGGTCCAAATGGAACATCAACAATACCGTTAATACGAACAGAATAAGCTAACAAATCAGCACCAGATTTTAATAATTAATGCCATTCAACGCTTGTCTAGTTGATTCAATAACCCATTTCCGCATCGACGAGTTAAAGAAACTCCTCTCAGAACTCCTAGCATCATTATCATAACCGCTACCAGAACTACCAACGTTATCATCATAATAGTCTTGTTCTTCTGGATCTCGATGAATTTGACAATGTGATTCATTCTCATTGTTATCAACAGCTTCAGAACCGACTCTAATTCGAATCATATATTGGAAAGCCGTTTCCCAAACTTAAGCTTTCCTTCGTCTTCCAAATCACGATCATCTTGATCTTGTAGAAAATTCCGTGAAATGCGATAAAATATTTTACTTCATTGAACTTAGGCAAAATTAAATGTTTTAGACAGGCATCTTTATTTAATAAATACTTTTTTCCCTACTATATCTTTACGTTGAATTTATTGTTTTCCTCAACAGTATATGATACTAACAAGTAATATACTAAATCCTAACATACGATAAACGATACGAAGAAAAAGTAACTATTTTTAGCGACCTATACTATTATTGCTGTTGCTCTCATTCGAAGCAGCTTCCGAAGTATTACCCTTTGGATTCTTCAAATGATGTTCTCCAATTCCATTATTTTTTTTTTCGTCCTTGCTATAAAAATAAAAATATTGTTTTAAAAATTAGTATATATAGAAATAAATAAATAAAAATAAAAATTTTTTAACTTACTTTCTTGCAACATTGTACTGATTATTGATAGGTACTTCAAGATAATTGGAAAATTGTATCGTTTCCAACTCTAATGATGACATCACAATCTACTGCTTCATCAAGAAAAGGTGAGTATGTTTCCAACCTCATCCTTTTTGATGGAATATGATGTCGTTCAGTCGTCCATAAAAGGTTCATAACCGTTATTCCATGAATCCTTACCGAATTTTCCCAATAGTACCTCATCAGTTGTAAAGCTCAAAAGAAGGTAGCTTTTGAGAAAAGTCCCTTGGATAATTTGGGAAAGTTTTCGACGGCCATTTTCAAAGTAATAGATTGTAAGAAGAAATCTTTTAGGCATTTCTGTTCGCCAACCGATTTATATAAATTAAAGGCTTCTTTTGAAAAATTATTTTTAAAATTTGGTTCTTTAATACCGTCGTCAACTTGGGTATTTATAAGTGTTATATAAATTTTTGTTTGTTTTTAAAGAAGCATATTAATATGGAGGTTTGGTAGGTAATTATGAATTTGAAAGCAACAATAATTTTTAAACATTTAATAATATATTTTTCTTTATTTTTATAATATTATAATAGATTTTTGCCAACTTTTGGAATTTCCAAGATATGAATTATTTTTAAGTTCGTATATGTGTATCGTTAAACAAAATTTCTAAGCCACCGGGCATTCAATAACATAGTCTCTACAAAAAAAGTGGAAAATTTTTTTTTTTTAATAATCATCATATTCATTCATCAATCATAAAAACATTAATATAGAAAAGATTGATTAAATGTATGATCTTTTAAGTAAGTGAGCTTGATATTGACCTGTGATGTCTGCAAATTTTGCAAGGTAATGTGATAAGGAGCGACCGAGTGCGGTATTTGTAAAGACGCGACCCGGTCTCACTACGTTAACGATCCCGTACAAGAAGTCGATCACCGATGAGATATCTTAACTTGAGGATGTAACCTATACGATAATCAATGTCGTCAATTTCTTTAATCCTAGAATCGAGAAAAAAAGTAAAAAAAAAAAAAAAACCCCCCATATATAACCTTTACTGTAACGTTCTACAAATGAAATAAAATTTTTAAAAAAATTTTCAAAGCAAACTAAATGCTATAATGACCATTATTTCATTTAATAAATATTAATTCTGTTGACGTGTGAATTTGACTACAAAAAAGGAAAAGAAAAAAAAAAAGACACTTGATCATCGTATTGTAGATTACTCTCTAATATCACCCGCTTCGCATCACCGATTACACCCTCCCGAACACTAACCGACCATAAATCACCTTAGAGATACCAAATATTCCTTAACCTGTACAAATATTCATTATTATCCACCAGATAAACTCTCTTGATGAATATGAAATTTCTGACGCCAAACCACATCTACGTCCCCTTTGACCTCCAACTACATCATTATCATATTGGAGACCCTTAACAATGTCGCAGAACCTCTACGACAGCTTCTGCGGAAGGTTCCTGCACCCTGCTGGATCTTTTACAATCCATCACCTACGCATCCTAACGAGGTACCCACCTGCTTATCATATAAGAATGTTTACAAGAAACACGTTCACCCACACCGCAATTAGCAGGTATCCTAGAATACATGACTTCTCGACAAATATCTGAAAACCAATCATTAATATTATCATCAATTTAGAATCCTTTTCGATCATGATCAACGAGACTAAATTTATCGTTAATGAAAATTGTCTAACTCTGACAAAATGGAATTTACTAATTTACCCCCCAAAAATTTAATAAAAATTGAAACATCACCAGTGTCACCGGTGAAACACCAGAATACGATGTCGAATTTTGATTGGATACTCCCGAGACCGTAAAAACATTTAAATTAAACAATCCACAAAAGAAAGAAAAGGAAACTTTCTTGTAACTCTATATACCTTTCCTAAATGAAAATAGTTCAAATTCCAAGTTCTCGTTCCTATTATGTTCCCTACCAACTGTCCAAACTTTTCTCCCGTAATAACCTATTTACTTGTTGACTATATTCACAATCTTTTTTCCAAATTGTAAAATAAACCTTAATAATTCCCAAAACCTAGGGTAATTGAATAAAGAATAATATCTTATTCTATCCATTGTCCATGATAAATAAAATTAGTTCTCCCAACAACGACCGGTTGGGAGAAGGAAAACCACAGATCGCCTGCCCAAATTCATAAACAGCTTTTATTTTTAAAGATAATACAGAGAAGGAAGAAATTTTGACGCAGTTGACGGAGGTCCGCCGGCGGCGTGGTTTGGCGTTTCTTCCGTAGAGGAATCATGAACTTTTTCAAAAACTTGGACTGTAAAGGTTGCCTTCCCAAGAGAATGGAATAGTGTTTATGTTATACATACTGTATATTTTTTAGTAACGCATTTATGAAATAGAATTTTTATTTTTTTTTATTTTTTATTTTGGAAACATATGGGGGCAGTGTTGACCAACTGGACTAACTGGACTTATAATTTCAGTAACTGGACTTTATAGTTCGAAATGTATGGGGGGGTATGGGCATAAAAACCAGTTTTTTTTAGTCCGAATTATAATATAAAATCTGGATCATTAATAAATCTGTAATGATTTTTTTTTTATTAAGTAAAAATTGTTATTGTTATAATAAAAATAATTTTTTTCTAGATATCAGTCAACTCTCTATAACTACTTCTTATAAGCATATTTTTATTAGGTTAAAGTTAATTAAAAATCCTCTTCTATAATTATATTATATAATCTTTTTTTTTAATTATATCAATTTTTTTAGTTTTGAGAGATGTAATTATATAAGAGATTAACTGTATATAATTTAGCTCAGGGTTGTGAATTTGTAATTATGTATATTATTCATTGAAAACTATCATCTTTTTATATAAATATTAACATTATAAATAAATTTCAATTTTTTGATATAAAATAAAATAGTTATAAAGATTTTTAAAAAAGTGATATATCCTCTGAATAATAAAGGATACAAAAATATAGTAAACATTGAAATTAAAAAGGTTAACAAAAAAATTAAATTACTTATCAAATTAAGCAATTTTACTAATCAATTTTTTATCTAAATTAGAAAAATTAATAGAATTTTTTATAGAAAATAAATTGAATTATTATAAATTTAAGTGAAAAATTAATGCCTCTATAAATATAATTTATTGGTAAATGTCTCTAAAAAAATCTATTTTCTAAATACTTTATTAATTTCATATAAATCAATAGTAATAGATTTTATCTAAAATATCATTATTTATAAAAAATTAATATAATATAATTCTAACTATGCCAGCCTAACTTAAAAATTTTAAATATAATAAAATTTTTTAACTAGAATAATTTTATTAATTAATCTGAATTTTTTAGTTAAAAGAAAGCTTGAAATTAATACTATAAATATTTTAAATTTATATCTTCCTGCTTGAAATTAAATTATAAATGAAAACTTTAAAATATTTTTAAAAACTTAATTATTTAAAAAATTCTAACAAATTTTAATAAATGATTTATATAATATAAATTTTTATAATTATTATAATTGTAAAAATTATATATCAATTTATAGCTATTAAACAAAGTTTGTAGTTTAATAATCCAAATTTTAATAGAATTAAAATAGATCAAATCTAGTAGTTTAATGATCTAATAGTCTAAAGTTCATTAATCCAAAAAGGTCAATATTGATAATAATAATAGACTATATTGTAAACTGCAATATTAGACTAATCTATTTGTTATTAAAATTAAAGACTAAGTTTAATTTTTAAGTAATTTTGATAATATAGATACAAAGTCAATACCTTTACAATTCTACATAAAATAGTAACTCCTAAAGCATAAGTTTTATAAGATTATTTCATTTCTAGTAATAGGTAAATATTATAACTTTTGGTAAGGTTATAATAAAATTAGGGTATAAGCTTTATAGTTAAAGTGATCTTTCTATTTTAATTTGACAAAAAAATCCTTATAGATCTATTTAAGTTAAAACCAAGTAGTGTATAATAAACTAACTATTTTTAATGATCTAAAAAATAATAGTAGAATTTTATAAGGTAAAGGTCTAATTATGATTACTTCATAAATTTATAAATTATATTAAGACTTAAGTTAGTTATATAATTAGAGTACTCAAAGAGTTATAAGTTCTTTAAAATTTGTATTCTATAATATAAATTAATTTCATTAAATAAAGGAAATATTTAGTATTGTATATAATATCTCTTTTTAATTATACTAAATTATTAAATATAATAAATTTTTTTATTTTAAGATATTAGATACAATTTAATTTTAATCTCAAAAGTTTTATATAAAATCAGATATTATTAACTTTTTTAAATACTTATCATGTAATTAATTTGATAAATAATTAAAAAAAAAATATATTTATTTTTATTTTTAATTTTTTTTTAAAAAAAATCTAATTATAATTACTTTCTTATAATTATTGGATTTTAATTCTTAGATTATTCAAAGGTAAATCTTATTAAAAAAAAATTTATTAAAAATTTTTTAAAAAATATTATTATAACTATTTATCTTTTATAATTAATTAATAAATTAACTATTATTTTTTTTTTTTTTTGTAATTACTGCATTTTTTAAGTATAAAATTATTTAAAGATAAGTTTTATAAAAAATTAATTAATTAATTACTATTACTTATCTTTTTCTAGATATTAGATTCTTTATACATTAAATTATTTAAAAGTAAATTCTATAAAAAAAGAATTTTAATTTTTAAGTATTAAAAAATATTTTCTATTATAATATTCTATTTTATAATATTTTATAATCTAAAATATTTAGTATTTTATAAAGTATTTACAGATATTATTCAATTTTAAATTAGATTTTTATATAAAACCTAAGGTACAATCAATTCTTGATATAGCAAACTCTTGATATAATAAATTTTTTAAATAAATATATTAAAAATACTCTTATTATAACGAATTGACCAATCAAATCTCTTAAAATCTTCATTATAGTCTTATAGCAAAGTTGAAGTCTAAGACATAGAGTTCATTATAATAAGAGTTGACTATATTATTAAAGATAATTTTGTAGCTAGTTATAACCTATGATAAATAAGTATTATAAGATTGCAATTAGTTGTAACATTAATAAAAATTTGAATTATAACTAATTATAACTAGTAATAAATAAGTATTATATAGTTAAAACTAATTGTAATATTATCTTTAGAAATTATTAGTTTTTACTAATAAAGTTAAAATTAATAATAAACATTTTATTTTTATTTTATTTGTATTAAGAATTTAAATAAAAAAATTAAAATTATATAAAAAGAATATAAAAATTATAAAAAATATAAAGTATATAAAGATCTAAAATAATATTAAAATACAAAAGAAGGAATATATAAAATTATAATAAGAATAGAAAGAATATATAAAATATAGTAATAATCCTAATATTACTATAAAATCTTTAAACTATTATACTAACTTATTTTATGTTTTTAGCTATTCTATTGATGCAAATATTTAAGTTATTAGACTTTAGTGTATAAAATTTAAACCAAAAGTCATATGCACAAGTTGTACTAAAAATAGAAAATTAATGCATATATTACATAGTATTTCTATTTTATAAATAATTTATCTTTCTCCCTTTTTGCAAATATGCTTAAAAAAACAGAAAGAAAGAATACCAACCGTGGCCGCTCAGCGTCGCCAATATCAGACAAAATACCAAAAAAGAAACAGAATACACTGCAAACTTCAGACAACGACCTCTCTCTTACTTA